TTTTTTTTGACTTTTTTTTGCCGGCCCAGCCCCGCATGCCCCAGCCCGCCTGTAGCCTGCCTGAGCTCGACCTCAACCTGACCCCTCCGCCAGGAGCCAGCCGCAGCCAGCCCAACGCCTGGCCCTGGCAGCAACCTGCCCCAAAATTTGAGCAGCAGCTGGCTTGGGGCTGAAGAGACCCTGGGACAGTGGCTGGGGCTGGGTAGGGATCCTGCGACTCTGGGGTAGGGGGTTGGGGCTGGCTTGGGGCTGGAAAAGGTGAAAGTTGAACAACCAAAAAGGTTCTAGAATTTTTAATAGACTGAAAGCCATAAGCCATAAGCAAAAAGGCTGCAATTTGCCTTGTTACAAGCTTTTCCTTGACTTGTTTACCTATGCAAAGTGTTGTTTGACTTGTTTTTTTGACTTTTTGTTGACTGTTGCTTTTTTTACTTTTTTTTGACTTTTCAATTTGACTTTTTTTGTGCCTTTGACTTTTGGGATTGACTTTTTTTGATTTTTTTAAATTTTGAAAACAGGTTCTTTCCAATGAAAGTTTTTTATAAGACTCTACAGGGTCACAGCGGTTTCGCAGACAGACTTCAGCTGATCATCTTCTTGCGAAAGGCGGCTTCTTTTCGCTGAATTCACAGAAGCCTACACAGAGATGACAGTATGCCAACCGTCCAACGCGTACCCAAACTCTTTCATTTGTCGTCAATGCAATAGTTTCTCATCAACAAGAAATACATCCAACCACGCCTCAAGTGGTTGTTCTTCATCAGAGCCCAAAGAAACATATGTATATAGGTCTCTTCATCTCTGGACGAGCGTCCAGAACAGGAATAACATCTTCATCATTCCTTACAAAGCCCAAAAAAAGTAGTTGGATAACAACAAAAGCACGTAAACGAATATAAAATTCAAAGTGTTCAAGCCAAAACATCCAAGTTTCGTCCAGAAGGTGTGTTCACAGTGGAGCACTGAGAAGTCATGGCGCCCACGCACGCCACGCGCAACAATCTACGACCCAAGACCAGCAACGCTGGCCACAACTGTCTTTTAGTGCGTTCCGACAAATCTGACCAAATACTTTTCCACGACGCAAAAAGAACGTAACATTGCTCTACTTCTCGCCAATCCACCCAACACCGATCAGGATCCATCACCGTCCTATGCTCAAAAGCAACCACTGGATCTGTGTCTCTCTGAGTGAAACCATCTATATAATAGGCATAATTACAAAGAAAGAAGGTTGACACGAAACAACGGTTCCAAACAATCAAAACCCCGGGGACGTGGAAGACGACACAACCGACAAAAACACACACACACACACCCGAGCTACAGTGTCAGCAAACGTCATCCTGTGCGCCAAAATGTCAACAACACAGACATCTTCTGCGGTGCATCACATGTCACGCTATTAATCCAGCCCCCCAACCCCCCCACCCCAAGTCTACCTAAGCAACATCTTGTGCGGTGCATCACATGTGAACCTGACAAAACGCCAAAAGCAGCGGGGCCGTTGTGGCATCCGGCAGCTTAAACTAACCATGCAGTGCAATACGTCACCAGGATGTCAAATATTTTCTGGCGCTACCGTGCGCTGTGTTCCCCTCTCTCCTTGTGCCGGGTCTCTGCTCGAAAAGCATCACTAAACCGAACATTGGAGAGGGCAACACTTCACACCATGTGGTGACATCTGGGCAAACAGCTGGGTGAGCCTTTTGCATGTCCTCCTCACGGCTCCTCAACGTCTCGGTCTCCTCCGTCCAAGCACCAAGAACTAACCGGCCAAAAATGACTAAGAACAATGTAGCTACAAAGAACGAAGCTGATTCAAGTGGCAGACTTGTACAGCACAACACTAGACCATACTATATGACACACACATGTGTGTGTATATATTTATATGTATATATTTGTTTTTTCAAAGCTAAGTGTTTCTCGATGATTTCAAAGTGTTCCTTCTGCATCGAAGCCAACCGACTTTGAGTTGCTGAGCTTTCCTGGGGTGCTGAATGACGGTGGAGTAACAAGCAGTGCAGCTCGGTCTTCTCGTGCCTTTTGCAAGTCCCTTATGACGTTTTGTGCTTTCAATACGTCCTGGACCACAAAAGTCGCACAGCAAGTTGACTTCCAGCCATATACACACACACACATACTGGTAGAGGTTCTGTTGATGTTGACTCAAGGCATTTGGACCCCCTTGCCCTTTGCCTGTCTTATCTCTCCCAAGCAGTTTTGTGCTGCTAGCATTTCCTGTCAGGAGCAATCCAAACCAATTCAGGTGTGCGACTGTTGGCCAGTCCATCATTCCATCCCGATTGACCGCAGTGTGCCTTCTGGAGAGTGCCCAATGTTCCCCGATTGTTCGACACTTCCTGACTGAAGAAGAGGAGCCGCAACAAATTCTCAATCAAGCACGCTGCTCGTCGCCTTCTGCAGGATGCCCAACTGGCCCTGCATGTTTGATGCATCCTGCCCAAAGAACTGTGAAATTCAATGCTCTGTCTTTATAATGTTGCAAGTCGAACAGGATGTGCTAAAACACAACTACCCACCTTCGTCACCTCGCCCAACTGGCTCTTTGTATCTGCAAGGTCCTCCCAATGGCTTGAACGCGTGTTGAGTTCATAGAGACCTGTCCAATTATCTGCAATTCAAACAAAGGTCGTATCAGTTTCATTCCCCTCTGGCTGGAATTGTCTGGGTAACGTTTTCAGAAACACACTGTAGGTCCTTGTGCACCTCACCCACATGGCTGTTCGTCGCCGAAAGGCCCTTCATAGCAGGGCCAACTGGTACAGGAACTCCCGCAATGAACATACAACATAGGGAAGTTCACTGCTGGTTATCTCATATATACATATAGAAACATATATATATATATGCATCTATGCATAATTCCTCCCATACATCCCCTCTTAGAGTACCTATCTACATACGTATGTAGGGACATTGCGTCATATGAGATCAACCTACATACATGCATGGATACAAATATTCATTGCATCGCGTCGCATTAAAGTAGCGTAGCACTGTGAGTCAACTTGAATTACGTTGAATTCAGCAACACTGCACATCCAATGACTCTCATTGTATATATACATAATCTCTCTCTCTTATATATATAATACATATATATATATATTAATAATAGTATATAATATATATATATATAAAGACTCGTCAGCATCCTTTTCTAGTTCGCTCTGCAGCAGATTTGTCAAAGTGATAATAAAAAGTTAAGATAAAAATACGAAAAAAGAGAACCGGGTTGGTTTACCCCCCCCTTCTTCGGTCCACTACTCAAAGAAGGGGGCGTATCCGGGTAACCCTGTCCCCCTCAACCAGGCGGGCCAAACCCCAGACCCTGGCCAGGTCCTGGGGAGCTTAAAGTGCGACCCTTTTTTCGCTCCTCACGAGCTCTTTGAAGGTCGTTTGAAGGGGTTTCTTCCCCCCTTTCCCCGGTAAGGGTGGGAGTGGCGGGAGAGCCAAACACTACGGAACCATCCAAGGTTGTGACTAGTCTTTATCCCCGGGGGCGGGGCACCAAAGACTTGTCAGCATCCTTTTCTAGTTCGCTCTGCAGCAGATTTGTCAAAATGATAATAAAATAGGACAAAAATACGAAAAACGAGAACCGGGTTGGTTACCCCCCCCTTCTTCGGTCCACTGCTCAAAGAAGGGGGCGTATCCGGGTAACCCTGTCCCCCCCAACCAGGCGGGCCAAGCCCCAGACCCTGGCCAGGCCCTGGGGAGCTTAAAGTGCGACCCTTTTTTCGCTCCTCACGAGCTCTTTGAAGGTCGTTTGAAGGGATTTCTTCACCCCTTTCCACGTCCCCCGAGCCGACGTTTTGCGTCGGGCGGCCTGCTGCTTTGCAGCGGCTCAAGTGTTTTAAAGGACTTGGGGGTGGAATTTCGAATGATTGCTGGTCGGCTCCGCCAAGGAAAAATTGCCAGGCGGCAGTGGAGGGAATGTCACATCCTCCGATTCTGCCTTGTCAGGGTGCCCTCCCCCGATCGTAGTGCGGTATGCTGAAGAAGCTCCTCCAGCTAGGCCCTCGGGCTACCGCTTCATCCGGGCGCCCAAGGCCTCGTCAACCTCTCCATGCATGGTCCAGAGCAGGGCTCAACCCCCGATACCCCAGGCTCGCTGCTGTGCTGTCTGTATTGCGTTCCTGAGTATCAGAAGTCACACGCTGCTCCAGCTGTAAAAAACGTTTCTCAGGGCACTCCCGCCCCGTCCTGTACTCTGCTATATTGTCATGGCTCCTCAAATGGCCTCCCTCATCTAATCCTTTTTGGGCTTGGCTTTTCCCTTTTTGCCTTTTCCCTTCGCGCCGTCATCCTTTTCTGCTTTTCCTCCCTTTCATTTGTTCCACTCCTTCCAGGCCCCTGCTTGATGGGCCTTCACTTCCGCCCGATGCTCTGCTGCCGCTATTGATAGTTCCTGCCTCGACGAAAGGCTTGCCCCGTCTGGGGGCAATAATTCCATTCTCTGTGAGGACGTCCATGCAAGGCCCGTCGACTGGGCTTCCAGCGACTTCAGGCGCTGGGTGAGGGTGTCGAGGGCGCCCGGGACCATGCCCTTCAATAATTGATCGCCTATAGTCGAGAGCGTTTGGGCTTCTCTGCGCATCGGACCTGACATCTTGCGGAAAAGTGTTTGTCTGAAGTATCTGAGATATGTCGTGCTCCACGGACCTTCTCGATGTCGATCTTGCCCAAGCTCCTGCACCAATAGGTCCTGCATCTGTTCGATTGCCTGTGCACTGAGAACTCCGGGGTACTGCAAAGCGATCCCTCTGATCCTCTGGGGTTCGCCGAAAACCTGATCCCCTTTCAGGGCCAATTCTCCCCCGTCGTCCGACGATGCTGACTTGCTCTCGTCCTTCTGGCGCTGAGACCGCCGGGCCAAGCGCTGTGCCCGACGGCGCTGCTTCCTTCGAGTCCGGGTGTTTGGGTCCATCCCTGACCCCCGGAACAGCACCTCCTGCGACACCGCCTTGAACTCGACGGTGGATGAGCTGCTTGTCGAGCTGGATGAACTGCAGGGGCTCTTCACCGTGTCTGTCCTTCTCTTCTTCTCTTTTTCCTTTTTTGAGCCTTCGCTTCTGGACTTTGAAGAACGGCCTCTCTTTCGCTTCTTCTTTTTCTTTTTCTTCGACTTCTTTTTCTCCTTTTCTGCTCTCTCCTTTTTCTCCTTCTCCTCGATCTCGGCGGCTGCAGCACATGCTCCAGGGCTTGGTCCCCCGATGCCACTCATCCTCGACCTCAAGCCTGCCAGCTCGTCCTCTGCTTTGGGCCTTCCCTCCAACAAAACGTCTCGCCAAGGGGCTCCGACTAGCTCCTCTAAGGACTTGATGCTGCGGAGATCGTTGCAGTGTAGCAGACCTGGCCCTTCTGCTTCCCTCGAACACCCTTCGGGGCAAAGGTGCACGCGGGCTGGGTCGGCCGTCCCGGTAGCCCACGTCAGCGGGGGTTCGTGATCTGTGCCATGAAGTCGAATGGCCAGGTGGCGTCCTGCAGCGTGAAGCGGCAGGGAGCTCCATAATAATGGGCCCCCTCGGCTATCACCAAATCTCCCACACTCGGATCCCATGTCAGGGCCTCGTCCCCCGCGGCTCCGACATCTTCGTGATGAGCTGCAGGGCGAAGAATACCTCTCCTCCTGCGGTCGGGCCTTGCGGCCGCTGCCGGTCTCCTCATCTTCGGTGCCATTTCCCTTTTCCTTTTCCCTTCGGACGTCGTCCGTAGTCGCTATACCCCAGGGTCTGCCCCCGAATGATGTGCTTGACTCCCTTCCACTTCTTCGCTGGTTGTGGTCGTTGATCACGGAAACCAGGTGGCGACCTTGACGGAGTGCGTGGCCTCCTTGGCAATGGCTTCCTGGCTGAGGGTTTTGGCGGGACCTTTCGAAGTCCTGCTCCCTCCGGATCTCTGGCGACCTCGGTGTCCGGGCTAGCTTCGTCGTTGTGAGGTGTAACGTCGACCTCCTCGTCCTTTGCTTCAGCCTCTGCTTCCACTTCTGCCTCTGCTTCCTCCTCCTCAACTTCGGCCTCTGTCGCGACCTGCTCCTCAGGTTCTGGAGTGGGTTCCTTCTTCACCTTCTTCCGCTCACGTCTACGGCTTCGGCTGCGTGACCTTGCCTTGTCCTCTCGCCTCCGCCTCCTCTGTTTGCCAGGGACCTCTGATGCCCCGCCAGTCTCAACTTCCTTTGTTGCTTTGTGCAGGGCTGCTGATGAAGCCTGCGGATCCCGCTGACCAGGGTGCACCCCCACTCTCAGCTTAGGTGGTAGTGTGGTCTTGTCCACCTTTCGCACCTCCACCAAATATCCCTCGATGTCCACCAGCCCTGACGTGCGGTCAGATTCAAAAGCCTCGGTGTCGGCTTCGAGGGTGTTGAGGACCTTTGCCAAGTAATGGGTCAGCTCCTCGGCCTTGGCAGGTGGATATCGGGTTTGAACGACTCTATGGATCCTATCCACCAAATAGCAAGGGTTGCACTGCCCCGACGTACCCACAGGCAACTTGAGACGGCTATGGCAACCAAGACAGGTCATGAACCGCCTTAGAGCCAAACACTACGGAACCATCCAAGGTTGTGACTAGTCTTTATCCCCGGGGGCGGGGCACCATATACATAAATGCCCATCACACAACGCACCCAAAAAGGGTCAAGAAAGAGGCGCGCCTGTTCAAGACTCTTCACTTGGGCATTAGTCTCAAACAGCTCCTAGAAGCAAGGAAACAAGAACTCAGGCCTAAACAAGAATAGAGCAAACAAACAAACACCCCATCGGGTGTGCCCCACAAACGCACGGCACAAATTTGAAGATTCCACTTTGCGTTCCTTCTGGAGGTCGGACAGCCGCGTTTGCGCCTCTGACAGCTCCTGCCCCCGGAAATCTAGCACACCTGAGATACGTGAAGAATAGATTGTATAACTTATAAGTGGTTGCAAGACTAGTCAAAACTGTCTAGTCAAGTGGCCTCTTGCATCCATAGCTCTACCAATCCCAGTCCTTCTGCAAATCACTTCGCTCCTTGCTGGCCTGCAAGATTCTTAGCTATTCAGGAATCTAGGTGCATCCGACCCCCCACTGGCATTTGCACGTTTCGTAATTGGAAACACTTTTTGTAGTCTTTTATTGCTGGTCTACTTCCTGATGGTGAAGCTTGGTGCAGCATGGCCTTGCAGAAGTTCAGGTCCGTGTCGGTTCGAAAGGATCTCAGCTCGGAGCGCAAGTTGTCCTGATCCGAGCGTTGGGAGGCCAAGTTGGAGCGCATGAAGTCAACATCGGATCTCAATGTGCCCAAATCTGCTCCGTGTGATTCGGAGGTTGACCTGAAGCTGGCTTCACTGACTTGGCTTTAACGTGGCATGACATGAGGCTGGCTGCCCTTGGGCCTGCACAGTGTTTACAACTGCAAGCAACTTGAAAGTGTCATGAATATTGGATAACATTGGCCGAGTTTCTGCAAAGACTTCAGCTGTAAGCAGCAGGACTCCAGGTCTGACCGCAAGGATGCGCTTTCTGCATGTTGCCCCTCCAAATCTGTCCTGCAGCTGCTTAAGCTCACTGTGCAGGACGCCAGGTCGTTCTTGCAGGAGCTCAAGTCATTTCGCAAGGCAGTGATATCGCAGCGCTGCGACCTTAAGTCGCATTGGAGAGTTTCAACTTCTTTTGAATGCTTGTCCACGATCTTCTTGAGTGTCCCCAGATCTGCTCCCTGGGACTCTAGGCATTTGCCCAGGTTGCCGATGTCTCCACGCAGGGATTGAAGCTCACTTTGCGCCGTGGTAAGCTCACCACGTTGAACTTCAAGGTTTGATTGTGTTGAGGCAAGGTCAGACTTGTGGTGATCAACATCAGAGCGCAGTGCGCCAAGCTCCGATCGCAAGGAGGTCAGTTGAGACTCAAGGCTGGCACGGACAGAGTGCATATCGGTGCGAGTGACATAAGCCTTGGCTCCCGCAACGCAACAACTCATTTTCAGTGGTGCACTGTGATACTGTGGCATCACTGTCACTTACTCCGAGATGCTCTGGCCACTTCATCGCGCACACTCCTTAGCTTGTGCGTCAAGCATTTTACAATGTCCTGGCAGTTGCTCTGCTATCCAGACTACAGCAACCTCGTAAGCTAGGCTCTTCATTTCCACCTGCTGCATGTCCCGAAGCTTTGCAACTTCTGCAGTTTGTTGCTCACGCCTCAAGTCAGCACTGTAGCTGCAACTGTATCGTATCAAAAAAACTCAGTGGATAATCTACAACTTCTCAGCCACAGCCAGATCAACTCAGCTGGTGACAACTTCCAAGCTGCCGCATCAAGCGCCTCTCGCCTGAGCAAACAAGAAAGCAACAACTTGAATGGCCCAACTTCGCTTCACACATAGTAACAATGTTTGCTAGTAGTAACAAGTGCCACGCTACTAGTAACAAGTGCCTTACTAGTAGTAACAAGAACGCTAGTAGTAACAAGTGCATCGCTACTAGTAACACCAAGAAACCGTCTGCCTATCTGGTCCTCCCGGCACCCATACGTTTGGGAACTGGAAGTGCTTTGCGCAACTACCAAGGGGGGTAGGTACAACACATGTATGCACATCACAGAATATGCTCAACAAACCAGCAATATAAAGCAAGTTTTCTTGGAGCATGCCTCTGCATCAAATCAATCAGCACTTATACGCGGATCCATCTGCTAATAAGCAACTTGATGCAAATACCAATTGAAACCTGTACAAACAAATGAACACTGAAAAAAAAACACTTAATGGGATGCAACATCGCAGTTTTTTTTGTTTTGACTGATTTGGAATGGCTTGCATCATAAAAGGTTCCTTGCTTTACCATAAGCTCCAGCACACAAACAGCACAGCATCCCAATACGATCCCGCTTGTCAGCAGACTTCGTCCAACATATGCAAACCAATGTTCTCATTTGGTATGAGCTTGTTCCCTAGACTACTAGAGAAAACAACGTCCTAGAATTGAAATCCGCGTCCTAAACAAAAAGGCAACAGTCTCAAGAATAGATGCCAATGTTCATTTCCTATTGTATTTGCACGCATTGCGTTCATTTCTGAAAGCCTTGCCCTAGTGTGACACTCATTGTTTGTAGTAGGTTGTTTGCTTTTTTCAGGCATTTTGTGCCGTGCTTTTGTCCTCAGAGACCATCACCATGCTTACTTTGCTTAAGCAAATCTGTCCATCACAATCTTCTGAACTCATGCAATTTCATTCAAATGCCGAAAAGGAAGCTTGCTACTTATTTATGCAATGAACTATTTGTTACATGAAATAATTCCTCCACACAAACCCAATGGAAACAATTGCAGACTATGATTTTGTGCTGGGGCTCATGTGATGGACATTTCATTGACAAGGATCCTACTGTCCTACTCTCACCCAAACACTAAAAGAATTCTATTCAGATGAATTCATATTCTGCTTATGCCAAGGCATGTTCTCGCCATTAGTTGCAGAGAATTCTAAGCTCCCAGTGAGAACTGTTGCCAAACCCACAATTGTTCAACAGAGTCCCTGGTCCCAGTGGCCTGTTTTAACATTGGGAAATTGCAGCGTTGTGACGCCTGAATCATAGGCACCAGGGGCGTAGCACACACATATATATATATATATATGGGCGGGCGCTGACTCGGGGGCCCCAGTGTTCCAAGACCTATTGAAATTAAAGTTGTTAGTGCTAATGTCAGCGCCCCCCATATACATATACATATGCATATACATAGTTATATACTGTATATGTATATGTTCGGGAAAAAGTTGAAGAAGGAAGTGAGGGAAACCATAGTTGGCATTCATCACTTGAAACTGAACAGGAAGCATATTGCGGTACATTTCTGATTTGAAGGACATGGCGGATGCAGGTATACCAAAGAGCTTCTTTTACAACACTATGTGTTCAATGTATAAAGCCTAAACTGAAACGTGCTGGTATTTCAGTACATAGTGTTAAGGTTGATGCTTTCACCATCAAGGCTGAAAATGAAAAGAACCCAAGGGAATCACTAGACTTTATTAGGCAAGGTTGGAGGCTGGCCAGTGAGCAAGTACCGGATATTAAATTTGCCAATGAACTTTACCAAGTTGTAGAAATCAAATAGTGAAATACCAACCTCTAAAAGTAGAGACATTCAAATTAATGAGTATGATACTGGTGATCTTGTTAATGACATAGAAAAAGTGAAACAGGTAATGGGTATGAGATTAACTGCAAAGGCAAGCAACAGTCATATCTGCCAGAAAATGGTTGATAAAGGCTACACAGTACTATTTGTATGCCCTACTAAAAGGTTTCTACACGAACTTGAAGGTGATGCCATAATAATTACTAAACAAGATTCTTGGTATAAGTGTTGGTGAGGTTAAAAAACATTTGCTTATTCAGAATTTGATGTAATAGTATTTGATCAAACCTATTTCATCGGTTTGAATGTTTATTGGACAACCACATGGTTTGGTGAGCAGTGTTCTTTTGCAACAGGTGATGCCAAACAACTAAAGCCAGTTCAGGGGCTGACAAACACCAACAAAGATATGAATCAATATGCTGCTGATGCAATGATTGACAATATGCTTGATTATAACATATGGCTGAAAGTGATTCAAAGACTGAACACAAAACAGGGTGAACAAAAGCTGATCAATATCAAGAACCCTAGATGTTTAAATGTCAAACAACTATACTGATTGAGAAGTACTACTTTAGACATACTATACTGATGTTATTACGTCGTCAACATACAACATAGCATAGTTGAATAAAACGTGAACACATGTAGCAAGTGAGATTAAGAAACAGGAAGGTAGACAAAACAAGAATATGAAGTAGGCGCATTTTTGCTATTCAGGGAATATATCATTTCACAAACACGTGTGTTCAATGCCAATGCAACCGTCAACCACTTTTTCGCACTGGTAATGACATTGTTACCTTGAAGTATATGAAAACAACTATGCATCAATAAATAGAGATTGACAACGTAAGAACAAACTTGATTCTTGCTTGGTGTTCAGCTTGCCATTCTGCTAAAGGTAGTCGCTCCTGTAGTGGAAATATTGCAATGTTCGTCCGTGGTTCTTGGATAATACTACCCAGTACCAGTGATTAGTGTAATCATTGCGGGTGTGGGTTTCATATTGCCATGAAAGGTTGACGGTTGACATGTTTTGAATAATTCACCTTGCCAAAGAGTTTCTAGCCTTGAGTCTCAGTCTCACTCACTGGATAACATAGTGCCTTATTGTTGTAGATGAAAAATGTAGTTGTAAACAATTTTGTGCACAGACTTGGCACAGCTTTGTCAACTGCATGGACCCAGCTTCTTTACACAGCGCCGGCGCTTCGAAGGCAAACGACATTGGTGCAAGGATGATAACACGCTACAGCATTGAAAGTGAAATGCTGCAAATGATTAGCCACATCAAAAAGATATTGTTTATAAACATTTGTTGTGTCTATAAACTGTGTTTATAAGCTACTCCTCAAACCAAACAAACAAAAACAACAATGTTTCCCAAACTAGTCCAAACCTTTGTAGGTGCCCCAGGGGGCCCCGAATCAGCGAGCACCCATATACAGTATATATATATATATTCTATTCTATATCAGTCAGAACTCTTGCCCCTGAAAACCTGCTGTTTGGTTATTTCTGGAAGATATCTGCCGCAGAATTCAGCACTAAATCCCTATCTTGCAAGGCAATCTCTCCTACAAGACCTGTTCTTGGAAGCCAACGCAAACGCACAAGATCTCTCTTATACAATTATGCAGTTCTTCATCAACGGTTCATCAAAATTGTTCTATCTTTGCTACAGATCTTGGTGGGCAAGAGCTTCCTTATCCTCGTACAAGCTTCTTCTAGTGATTCTATTGTCAAATTGATTTCTTTCTTCCTTAACCTCCCATATTGACCAAGATAAATCCTTCAAATGGTGAGCATTTCTCAGAGCTCCATGGTCTTCATTGTTGAATCAAATTCAACCATATGTTGGCTTAAAACACCGTGGGTGAATTGTCTTCGTTCCTGCAAATGGGCCTCAATGCTTATTGAAATTGCTGCCTCCATCATAAAGCTCTCCTCTGGAGGTCTGACGCTCTACGAGCCTTGCAGACTTCCTTCACACCCGTTGATGCTATGTATGTAAGCCTATCTGCTTTAATGAGCTTCTATAGCCAATTCCTTTTCCAACATTATTTAAATTCATTCAGCTTGTGTCTCTTTAATGAAGCAATCTCATTCCTTGTGAAAATGTTCCCTTTACAAAAGCCCCATCCTCTATCCAAATCTCATCCTGCTTGTGTTTCTTCCTTCCATGGAGTGCACTCTGTATGACCGTATCATCTCCATGAGGCATGTCTTCATTTTCTACACTAGTTTTCTTCAAGAACGCCTCCTCTGAAAAAAAAATAGTAATTGCCGCTGCAACATTGACATACAGTAACCTGCGTGGAAGACAGCTCAACAACTGCCAGAAACCTGTGTGGAACAATGTTCCATCCTATTGCTTATTCAAATCATTGCCTTTGTAAGAGAAGTGATTTAGACTCTGGAGGTTCAAAGGGTTGGAATCCCCAGTCATTTTCACAACCCCCTGTACCTGCATTTGTTTCAAAAAGTGGATGTTGAAGTGAAGCGCAGGATAACACTCAGTTTTCCTGAGGAATGTTTTCTGTGCAACATCCTGCCATACAACAACATGCATAGCAAAATGCATGTAGAAAAAAACAACACACCTTGAAGAAGTAGTCAACCCCCTGTTTTGGCAAAGCTCCCTTGGCAGGGAAAGGACATTCTTGGAAAAGTTGCCCAGGTTCTAACAGTTGACTAAAGGCAGGCAAACCTCAGTAGAATATCTGGATCTACCTGAACAATTTGCGAACCAATACCCAAGAATTCTGCACACGTCTGGGCAA